GAAGCCCAGATACCTAACTTCCACGCTCCCAATTGCACACTTCTTTGGGTTAGCCGTGAGCCCCGCCCCCTCCAGCGACTTGAGGACAGCTCGCAAATGCTGCATATGCCGCTGCCAGTCGTTGCTATAGATGATAATATCATCCAAGTACGCTGCGGCATATGCAGCATGCGGCCGGAGGATCCTGTCCATCAAACGCTGAAAGGTGGCCGGTGCCCCGAACAACCCGAAAGGAAGAGTGACAAATTGGTTTAATCCAAACGGCGTCGTGAAAGCAGTTTTTTCTTTGGATATTGGAGATAAGGGGATCTGCCAATACCCTTTTGTCAAATCCAGTGTCGAATAAAAACGAGCAGTACCGAGCCGATCAAGCAATTCGTCAACCCTTGGCATTGGATACGCATCGAATTTCGATACGGCATTCACCTTGCGATAATCCACACAGAACCGAACTGAGCCGTCAGTTTTAGGCACTAAAACTATCGGGCTCGCCCAGTCACTGTTGGATTCCTCTATTACTCCCATATCCAGCATCGCAGCTAATTCATCCTGAACTACTTTCTTTTTATGTTCAGGTAATCTATATGGCCGGCTGCGAACAACCACGCCCGGCTCAGTCTCTACATGGTGCTGTATGAGGTTCGTTCGACCAGGGAGGGGCGAGAACACATGAGCAAACTCAGTTTGTAAATTTCGAATGTCAGCGATCTGGGACGGTGAGAGGTGGTCTCCACAAACGGCCAGAGCGGAAGATTGAGACTTTAGGTTCGCCTCTGGCCCGAGATCCTCCTCCCCACTCACCACCGTCGCCAGCATCGCTGACTCCGCCTCATTCCACTTTTTGAGCAGATTGAGGTGGTATATCTGATGTGACCCGTCCCTGTCTGATCGAATAACCTCATAGTTAAGATCCCCAATACGCCGTGTGACCACAAACGGTCCTTGCCACTTGGCGAGTAATTTAGAGCTGGATGTAGGGAGCAATACAAGTACTTTATCTCCCGGTGTAAATTTGCGTAGTCTAGCCCCCCTGTTGTATAGCCGACTTTGTTTGTCCTGGGCCTGTAACAAATTCTCCATAGAGAGCCGCCCCAGAGTGTGGAGTTTTGTTCTCAGGTCCAGGACGTATTGAATTTCATTTTTGCTATTCGAAGGTCCGTCCTCCCAAGCTTCCCTAAGTACATCCAGAACCCCGCGGGGCTGGCGTCCATAGAGGAGCTCGAAGGGGGAAAACCCCGTGGAGGCTTGGGGAACCTCGCGTACAGCGAACAAGAGGGGTTCTAACCACTTATCCCAATTTTTGGCGTCTTCCCGAACGAACTTACGAACCATGGATTTTAACGTGGGATTAAATCGTTCGACCAAGCCGTCCGTTTGTGGGTGATAGACGCTGGTACGAATCGATTTAATGCCCAGTAATTCGTACAGTTCACGAATTGTGCGTGACATAAACGCCGTGCCCTGATCGGTGAGAATCTCTTTCGGGATTCCCACCCGGGAGATTAATTGAAACAGTGCGCTCGCAACACTTTTAGCAGAAATGTTGCGAAGCGGCACTGCTTCGGGGTATCGCGTTGCATAATCCACCAGAACTAATGCAAAGCGATGCCCCCGTGCGGATCGTTCCAATGGCCCGATGAGGTCCATGCCAATTCTCTCGAAGGGGACCTCTATTAATGGAAGGGGGCACAACGGTGCTTTTCGGTTGGCCGGTGGATTCACCAACTGACATTCACGACAAGACGCACACCACCTGCGCACATTCTCGTGAATGCCCGGCCAGAAAAATCGGGTCATTAGGCGATTCAGTGTAGCTGTTTGCCCTAAATGCCCAGCCATCGGATTACAGTGAGCCGCCTGAAAAAGCATTTCCCGGCGGCTCTTTGGAACTAACAACTGAGTTGTATCTTGTTTTGTGTGAGTGTCTTGGGTCACCCGATACAACTTATCTTTTATCAAGGCAAAATAAGGATATGAGAGCGGTTGGTCTGGGTGGACAGGCTGTCCGTCGATCACACGGACCTGATCAAACGCATTTTTAAGCGTTTCATCTCGGGACTGTTCCAGAGGAAAATCATCACGCTCAAAAAGGATTTCCCTTTCTGAGGCGCTCCGTTCCTCTGAGACAGACCCCGAGGGTCCCGGCACAGCCTCGCCAACCTGAACGACCGCTCTCTTCTCCTGCCTTTTTATCCCAGAAGCACCCGTACATAAATAAGCCAATAATGTTTTAAACCCCGGCCAATTGGTTCCCAAAATTAACGGGTGCTGGAGGTGCTGGTTAACTGCCACCTCGACACTATGCTTTTCCCCCCGAAATTGGATAGTGACTGGCACTAAGGGGTAACCCACCACCTCACCGTGCACACACCGCACCTTAACCATGCGGCTCTTATCCAATGCCATTGGCTGAATCAAACTTTGATGAATGGAGGTCTGGTTACAACCTGAATCCACCAAAGCTTGATAGGTACCCCCCTTTACACTTACTGGAATTTGGTACAACCAAGCTTGATCGGGGGCAACCTGTGGCGCGTCGGGGACCCTGACCAGCGTTCCGACCTCCATCACTGGACACCTATCGATGAAGTGCCCAGGGTCCCCGCAACGCCAGCAGGCCGGCCCAGGCCTCCCCGCCACCCCAGTGGCGGGAAGTGGGTCAGGTGATTGACGCGAGGAGACCGCAGGGGCCGGTGCTGGCAGACTGCCAGCCGTCAATGGGGTTCCCCGAGACGGCGCACGCGGGGACGGGGCCGGCTCAGCTGCCGTGCCGGTCCTCCAACGGGGTGCCGGGCGAGGTATGAAGCCGCCTCGGGACCTGGGAGCAGGGACAGGGCGAGAGAGAGAAGAAGAAGGGAGAGACAGAGAGAGAGATGTCGGTAGGGGTTCGCTGACCCCTGGGCACGCCACCAGCTGGTCCTCTGCCAATTGGATGGCCTGGTCCAGCGACGTCGGGCGGTGGCACTGGACCCACTGTGCTGTCTTCTTTGGCAGACGGGCGATAAACTGTTTCAGCACCACCAACTCGATGACCTCATCGACGTCGCGGCGCTCGGCCATCAGCCATCTGCGGCACGCGTCCCGGAGCTGTTGCGCAAAGATGAAGGGCCGGCCGGATTCCCCGAACTCCATAGAGCGAAACTGCTGACGACTCTGCTCCGGGGAACGGCCGACCCGCTGAAGAATGGCGCGTTTCAGGTCTTCATAGACTAGGAGGTTGCGGACTGGCAACTGCTGGGCGGCGATCTGCGCTTCACCTGAGAGCAGTGGGATCAGACGCACAGGCCAGTCCGCGGGCGGCCAGCTCCCGGCCTCGGCCGACCTCTCAAAGAGGTCCAGGAATGCCTCCGGGTCGTCCTGGGGACCCATCTTATGGAGGGGAAGGGCCGTGGCCGGAGCTGACGAAGTAGACATCCGAGCCTCCCGGTCTAGCCAGCTCCGGAACTGCTCGCGGTCCTCATGCTGGGTCTGGAAGAGTGCCTCGAAACGGCGCTGTTGCTGGTCCTCCATCTTCAGCAGAGCTTCTTGATGTTGTTGGTGTAGTCCCGCGAACGCGTTGATGATATCCGCAAAAGGCGATGACAGAGTTGATCTGGCGGCGGCCTCTCCTTCCATCCCGGGTTTCGGCACCAGTGTGATAATACTCAGGATTCGTGTGTGGGTGATGGAAGAAGACTCAGGTTCGGCAAAGAGTGAAGCTCGTGCACTTTATTAGTAATGCTCTTTCCACTGCGCTCTCTGGCGCTCTCACAACTAACTCAGAATTGTGAACTCAATTCACATGTAAAACAAAAACTCTTCCCGCTGGCTACAGCTTCTCAGGATGCCGATGAAGCAACACTCTTTCCGCTGTTCACAGCTTCCCGATCTGCAGACACAAACGGCAGCTTCCCGATCTGCAGACACAAACGGCAGCATGCACGAGCTTCCAGTCCCTCTCTCACGGCCCGCTTATATGCGGTCTCCTCACGGCAATTACTGAAATCACAAACAGGTGTTTGTCATTTGCACTTGACCCACTTACTCACCGCTCGGTTCCGCCCTCGCTCTCCCGCTACAGACTTCGCTGAACCACGCCCCCCTCGCCACAATAGACTTCTATAATTCAATGTTAGGCTGCATAGATTTGGTCAGCCGGAACTGGGAACACTTCCCTTAAATCTTGATGTACTCGTTACATCATAAGAAGAATGGCATCTACGCTAATATTAGTGTCTTTGTTTATCCCGATGTTTCCCGCAGCCTGCCGGATCCAGGCCGTATCCAGATCTGACGAAGGAGATTCGCCTGGACCCGATGACAATGCAGTGCTGAAGTGTCAATTATCCTCTCCCTATGGAGGATCCCTTTCCCACTCTACAGATAAAGCGTTGTGAATTCCGGCTCGCGTACCTCGAAGTGATAAAATAAAACAAAATTCTGTATCAAAATTTATAGGCAAGACAAGTAGTTTGTTTAGGCAGTGGTTGTATGGAATTACAAACCTGCGCACATATTTTCAAAAACACATAACTATAGAATCAATTCTGAATGTGCGTGTGAACGCCGTCAGCGTTAATCACAGGTTCGCGTTTAAAGTCTGATCATTTCGAGGTGAATCAATCAAAATGAACTTTACCTGGAAATAACATTATTCAAGAACCGCTATAAAGCCAAAACAATCTCTGTTACCTTAAATTATATGTTTATCTCTGTAAAGCTGCTTTGAAACAATCCATTGTTAAAAGCGCTATATAAATGAAGGTGACTTGACTTGACTTTAAAATCAAGATGTCTTATTAAACAATCTCATATTTTAGCACTGCTTTACAACAGAAATACTACAGTGACTGTCATTTCTTAAACGAACATCAAAATCAAAGACAACAAGAACTTGTTTAACAATGATTTTAAAAAAAAATCCAGCCAAATAGAAACAAATACATTGAGTGTAACCTTTAAGAAGGACACTGGGGAAAATGATATATAAAAAGCTTGAAATGAGTGTATTCTGTCGACAGGACTCCTGTCACTAACTCTGTGTAAACCACACGAGTATGTTCTGATCCGAGAGTTAATGCCGTGGGGAAAAGCTCAAAATTACTGCAGGGAAAACCACATCGACCTGGCCACAGTTCAGAGCGTTGAAGACTGGACCACTCTGCAAGAAGTCGCGGATGAAGAAAAGTATCGTTCATTTTCCTGGATTGGACTCTACAATGACATCAACAGCTGGCGTTGGTCTTATCAAGAGGAGAGTGTAGTGTTTCAGTCCTGGTTTTCTGGCCAGCCGGATAACTACGGTGCGGGAGAGGAGTGTGTCACAATGTATTACACTGGATACTGGAGGGATTTCAACTGTGATGAAACAAGATATTTTGTGTGTAGCGATGGTGAGAAACACTCTTTATTGATGTGCATTATTTTTAGTGTATGCATTTATTACATATACATCTATTTATTTATTTAGCAGACGCTTTTATCCAAAGCAACTTTCAAATGACGAATAAGAGTATTCTTTCAAATGAGTACAACTTTCAAATGAGGAATTTATTTTTAATTTGGCAAATTGTCAAATTACCACAATCAGATGATTAATCAATAATCGTGACAGGCCTAATCACAGTATTATTAAACTTTATTTAAATATGAAAAAGGAAAATTTAGGGATGCGCTAATATGAAAATTTTGGCCGATACCGAAAACCGCTAATTCTTTATATTTGAAAGCCGATATTGTTGTAACGAGGCAGACTCAGAGAGATCCATTTGCAGCTTTTATTAAGAATAATCAAAACAGCCAAGGTCATCAATAGCAGACAGGGCAGAGACAAACCAGGTAGACGAGCAAAGGATCGGGGCAGGCAGCAAGAATTAAAGTCCAGTAAACCAGCCAGGTCAGGGCAGGCAGCAAGGGTTCAGCAGTCAAACACAGAAATCAAACACGGGGAAATAACGCTCAGAAATGATGGCCGGGGCAAATCAAGACTTCGCAATGTGTGTGTGTGTGTGGAAGTGGCTTATATGTGTGTGTGAATGAGGTGCAGGTGTGTTGTGCAATCAGTCCCAGGTAAAAGGCATTATGGGAATTGGAGTTCGGTGAAAAGAAGTTAATACTCTGGCGAAGGCTCCCTCCGGTGGTGAAGAGGAGGTGGAGAGGAAGCCTGCTCTGTAACAGATATATTGGCCGATAAATCCAAATCCAAATTTTTATATAATTTTTGTGAGCCTGATTACAAACACAAAATCTCAACATTAAAAGCCACATTACAAACACACAAAATGTTCACAATATAATTTTATGTAGCCGATATGACAGACTTGCACTACTTAAAGTCCCTGTAAAGGCAATTCTGAAAAAAAAATTCTAAACACATTATAAATGTTAGAAATGTATTGCTGTGAAGTACTGAATGGTGGAGTTAGACCGTTAAAGTAACAACAGATAGCTTTTCCTCTCTGGGTCCCCCTACAGTTGGGAAACAGTATTGTCCTCTAGACCTCTGTCATCCTACATGCACGTGCAATTGTTGACAACCAGGATAGCCCTGAACACTGTAGGAGGAGGTCACATGCAGGTGTTCTGCTTGCATCGCGTGTGAAATGTCTTCATCCCAGGTACAGTGGCATATATTTCAGCATGTCATATGAATATAATTTCATGGGTTTTATTTTTTTTCTAACGACAAATGATCGCGATGCTCACGTTTACAAGCCAGCGTCATTATAGTAGCCTAGTCTATTGGTTACCGTTTTACTGAATCTATATGATACTTCAATGCAATGTTTGAGTGGTTGATAATAACCATATATCGTCAATATTATAATATCAAGCTACCATAAATGAATCTGCAAATTTTACAAATCGATTTGCATTATAGCTTGAGGCAAGACAAATAAACAAATATCACAGACATGTTAGGTATCCTAAAATATGATTTTATTAATAATCTTCCTCCTTTCTTTGTACATGTTGAGTAGACTACACTTTTTAGGTCAAACATTTGCTATTTGCATTTCATCGATTGCAAAGTTCAAATCAGAACGAGAATACTAGCGATAGCTAACCATCAAAAACTAGAATATCGTTTACTAGCTACCAGATTGATAATTCGCTACTACTCTAGCGAATTAGAGAGGTTAGAGAAAGGCATTCTTTTTTCGATGGAGGGTTCGATGCTCCCTGCACACGCAAGGTCTCTCGCTCGCTTTCTCTCTCTGCCGTCCGCGCGCGTTGGAGCACAGTCTCTGTCTCGCGTGCGCGCTCGCTCTAGATTCCGGGAGATTTGAACTAATTTGCGGTATAACTTGTCGATCACGAGTGGCTCAACAGGTAGATCTATAGATAAACTCATCTTTCAGGCATTTGACCGACCGGGTTGACAATTTAGCGTGAGAAACCGGGGGTGTGGCGTACGTGTGAGCGTGTGAAACCAATCAAATGCGGGTGTCTCACGGCCAATGCGTGAGAGTTGGCAGCTCTGCAATGTTGATCCTCGTTCTGCCTTTAACGCGATCACTTTCTCTTTTTCTCTTTTTGCTTTGCTCCGCTAAAACCTTTGCTTTCTTGTTTTTCTGTGCTGCTTCGGCCATGACTATAACATTTGGCTCGCAAGTCCGATTTTAAGGAAGTGGGGGTGGTGGTGGAAGTGACGTATATGCCGTAAAGCAGTCGAATTTTGTAGTTCTCTTTGTTCGCCGGTTACTACCCGAAACCCGAAGTTTAAAAGTACGATTAAAAACGCTACAGACCCCGTCAGGCTATGGCAGACGTGTCATTCAACCTATTGTAAGTCGATGTACCATCACAAGAGACTTGGAAATATATTATGAAGGTTGAAAAGTTACCTGTTGTTACTTTAAACAGTTTTTCACCATTGCTGTGTTCCGGATTTTTTTGGCGAGGCTAAAACGGAGCTCGATGATGCACTGGAGCCTCTGAGCTCCTGGACACGCCCCTACTTGATGACACACTGGAGCCCTTGAGCTCCTGGACACGCCCCTACTTGATGACGCACTGGAGCCCTTGAGCTCCTGGACACGCCCCTACTTGATGACACACTGGAGCCCCTGAGCTCCTGGACACGCCCCTACTTGATGACGCACTGGAGCCCCTGAGCTCGTGGCCACGCCCCTACTTGATGACACACTGGAGCCCCTGAGCTCCTGGACACGCCCCTACTTGATGACGCACTGGAGCCCCTGAGCTCGTGGCCACGCCCCTACTTGATGACGCACTGGAGCCCCTGAGCTCGTGGCCACGCCCCTACTTGATGACGGACTGGAGCCCCTGAGCTCGTGGCCACGCCCCTACTTGATGATGCACTGGAGCCCCTGACCTCGTGGCCACGCCCCTACTTGACACACTGGAGCCCCTGACCTCGTGGCCACGCCCCTACTTGATGACGGACTGGAGCCCCTGAACTCGTGGACACGCCCCTACTTGATGACAGACTGGAGCCCCTGAGCTCCTGGACACGCCCCTACTTAATGATGCACTGAGGCCACTGAGGCTGGCCCCTCCCCTAACAATAGACAACATTCACATCAGTTTGCCGCTCAATTGCGAGTTACTGCCAGTACTATTATTAGTTACTACAGCCTACAGTTTGCTAGCTAGCTATGCCTTCGTCACGGAAATGCGTACTACCTGGATGCGATCATGTACAAAACAGATCGGTGTCCTTATTTAATTTTCCGAAAAACAATCACATCAAGAAGAGGTGGATTAATTTTGTGAAGAGCCAACCTTGATGGAGAGCTGAGGATCACCGTCAACACCCGCCTCTGTAGTGATCATTTTACACGGGAGAGTTTTATAAACTTTCGTGGGAGACAACTGGGATTCACTGACAATCCGCTGTTACTGGTGAATGGGGCCGAACCGACTATCTCCCGCCTCGGCCTTCATCTCCCCGTCAAGCAGGATCACCTAATATCACCATCGGCAGCTTTCCCGCGAGTGGGCGTTGTTTCAGCGCAGCCAGCGGACACGCCCCCACAGCGGACACGCCCCCAGCGTTTGAGAGCAGAGAATACTGCTAATTTTTTCACGATTTTGATTTTTACTTTTATTTACTGTTTTTAGCATTCAAATTTGGCTGGGTGGCTAATAACACATTTTTCTGTGGTGTGACAAACTCAGAACACATATTAATTTTGACTTTACAGGGGCTTTAACGTTTTTTTCCTTTTTTGAAGTGATTCCAATCATATTTCAAACAATTCAAAACCATCAAGGTAAACAGTGCACATCTGAAGTATCTCAGCTGAAGGAAATAATCCATTATTTATCAGCTTTAATATATCGGCCAAATTGTTTTATCGGGCCAATAACGATAACATCAAAAATGAACATACAGTATATCGGCCGATACCGATATGGTGACGATATATCGTGCATCCCTAGTATAAGGTAAAGTTGAACAAAATTGCTTTATTTTGAAAGGAAAGGGTAACTTGCAGTTCAGATGTTGATCAAAGGGCAAATTCAGTGGAGGATTCATCAGACCAATTTAAATGAGTCATTAAAAGAATCCATGTCAGACTTATTATTTTGTTAGGGACGCACGATATATCGGCCACCATATCGGTATCGGCCGATATATGTTCATTTTTAATGGAAAGAAAATAAGGAAATTTTGGTGCTATACTAAAGCTGATAAATAATTGATTATTTCCTTCAGCTGAGACACTTCAGATGCGCAGTGCTTGAACTGCTGGAAATATGATTGGAATGACATCAGAAAAGAAAAAATACAGTCAAGTCGTGCAACATTTAAGTCTGTCATATCGGCTACATAAAATTATCATGAGAACATTATAATTGTGTGTTTAGGACATGGATTTTAATGGTGAGACTATTGGTTTTGTGATCAGGCTCTCAAAAATTATATAAAATTTGGATATAGATTTATCGGCCAATATATCGGTTATCGGCTTTCAGATATAAAGAATTATCCGTTATTGGCCAAAACTTTCATATCGGTGCATCCCTAAATTTTATACTTAAAAATTTCTCAAAATAAACATAACATTCAAAATAGGACATTAAAGGGATAGTTCATCCAAAAATACAATTGTTTGTCAATTAGTGACCATCATGTCATTCAAAGTTTAAGAGGCTTACACTCGTTAAAGAAAATGATTTTTTGAAAATGAGCTTGTCATGCCTCTTGTGTTGTTTTTCACAGAAAGAACCAACGCAACAGAGAAACTGGTTGTAATCAAAAAGCAATTTACGTGGCTCAACGCTCAGAAGTATTGCAGAGAGCATCACACAGACCTGGCCACTGTTAGGAGTCTAGACGACAACAAACGGATCACCAGCTTGATAGAATCTTGGTTTGAGCCCTGGATCGGACTGTACAGGGACTCGTGGAAGTGGTCAGATCAGGCCAACTTTACTTCCTCAACCCAACTCACTGCTCAGAGACTCTACGGGGGGACCGAAAACTGTGCCGGTGTATATTATTATAGTACTTCTATTGACGAGTACTACTGCACTTCACTTTATTACTTCTACTGCAGCACTGGTAAGCCCTTTACCTTCGTTATTTTACTACATTAAGATATAGTAAAACTCAAAGTAAGATATTATGTGCTTGTCCTGCAGTGAAGAGTAAGCAGCAGGTGATCCGAGTGCAGGTCAAAGCCAGTGAGAACGCGGACGACGCTACATTGAGTGCACTCGTCTTAAACAAGGTGGGTTTATAATAATCAACAGACTAAAATAACTCTAAAATGTGTGATTGGACATGATTGGAACAGGTTAAATGATCCTGTAAACAATAGTCACACTCGCAGTCAGAAATGAGGCATTGGAAATTAATGCGAGACAAGTTTCCTCTAGTGGAAGTGTTTGGAACTGCAGCCGAACAACATCTCACTGAAAGATCATTTACTGAGAGATCAAGATCATATTTGGAGCACAACTTGTTTAAGTTTATGGCTTTGATTTTCTTGCAGTTTTAGAGTAAAGCATGATTTAGAAAATATATATTTCATATAAAATTTTTAATTTAATCTTTCATAACAATAAATGTATTTATTTTTTAAGTTCACTTTTTAAAACTTTTCTCACTTCAGCAATAATCTGCCGAG